ATTTTCCTATAAATAATCCCAACTTTTAATTTTTACGCTTAATTTCTATTAAAAATCACCTGTTATAGCAGGTAATATCCGGTCATGGTCTCATGGACCATTATTGGCGGATAGTCCATATAGTTAGGGTTATACAAAAATAATCAACAGTTGGGATTATTGTTAGCTTACCTGCAATAGTTGGGATTATTATTTTCAATTTTTCCATAAATTTATGACATTTCCTTTTCATTCTTTGCATGATTTTATGCGTTTTTTTGTAATTTTTTATTAACAATATCAACTACTCGTACAATATTATTATTATACGTAGTACTTGATGTTGGGAAGAAAAATATTTATCAAAAACATATGAGATCATCCAAATAAAGCGAGAATATTATACAATATCATTTAAATTTTATTTGTTTATCTCTCTTATCTCACATATGCATCAAAAAATTTGCACTTGAGATAGCTTTTACATTCAAGTCCATAACCTATGATAAAAACTGATGTATTGTTTACCCTCACTTAAAGAGGACAGTATGAGCACCTCGATGGCTTAATTGGACTATAATTTAACGCCTGATCTGGTCTGACCTGTTAAAATTTGATTTGATCGGATAGGTTTCCATTTATGTGAATTTTACAATTGTCGATGTACGTTCTTGTTTAATATGACTTTGTTTGTTTAAGCCAGGTCAGGTTTGAGATTGAAGTGAGAACAATAAAAAACATTAGTGTTATGTAATATATGAATCTCCATTATTTCAATTATGTTTTAGATTTTTAAGTCTAATTCGGTAATTCCTTCTGATTTTGTATTTTTTTAAATTTTACTTTCAAGTTTCATGTTTTCAAAATTGAACAAGTTTGGGGATAATGCCTTTACTTATTAACGTAGAATGTTTGTGATTGCTTCCACTTTAAAAAAATGATATTTTAAAGTGATTTTGAAAAAAAAAAATGATTGATTGTAAAAGTTGGTAGTGTTTGAAAAAAGAGTGATTCTGAAAAAGTAAAAGTTGATAGTGTTTGGTAAAACAAGTGATTTTTGTATAATAGAAAAAGTGAAAATCAGTTTGAAGCACCCCTCTACATGTTTTCAGCTTTTAGTTTTTAAGTGCTTATCTTAAGTAAAAGTTATCATTTGGAAACACTTATTCCAACTTTTTAAAGCCAAATTGTGAAAACCACTTCTTTTTTATTTTTGTTTTTGTTTTTGCAAACACTCCCTAAGAAGCAACAAATACAATAAGTGGCTATATATAAAGTTTATTTGGGAAAGCAACCCCGAAACAATCATTCTTGTTGTACACACTATTTGTACATAAATTGTACATTGCTCATGTACACAGACAATTGAGAGATAAATACTGTCTTTTTTAATGAGTTGTCTGTATACACATGCAACTAGCTAGGGGATGTGCACAAAAGCGTGCAAATTGTGTGTGCAAATAGATTTTTTCAAATTGAAAAGTGAAAAAGTGATCTTACTACTCCCTTCGTTTTTCACTACTTAAATAGTTGTTCTTTCCATTTTTAGAAAATTATTTCAATAAATATACTTATTTACTCTCATTGTCTTTCCTACTTTTTCATTTTCATTCCTACTTTTTCATTTTAATACAACTTACTAGAATTAATTTCACTTTTGATCCTATGAGTTTTGCGTCAATTCTACATTTAGTCCACATCTTTCACTTTGTCCACTTTTGGTACTTGACTAATGTTTTTAACCGATTCTGGTCCTTTTTCGGCGATTTTAACCATTAGAAACAATGCTGGAAGGACCATATATGGGCGAAAACACAATAGTCATGTATCAAAAGTGGACAAAGTGAAAGATGTGGACAAAATGTGGAATTGACCTAAAACTCGTAGGACCAAAAGTGAGATTTATTCCAACTTACTTGTTGGTCCCGTTTAAGATGGTAACAGTCTAGAGGGGGGGGGGTGAATAGACTGTTATAGTTTTTCAACCTTTTTCTCTAAGTCAGAGTTGACTTGTCAGAGAGGGTCGAGTTCTGATGATCAGAACTGGTCTAGCAGCGGATAAGAGTTCCGGGTAGCCTCAAAAATACTAAGGCAAATGCCTTTCTGATAACTCTGAAAACAAGATCTGCTGAACACAGATTCCAAGTCTTAGAGTTAATCAGTTAAAATCCTATGTGCAGTATATAAATTGCTGTAAGGTAAATGACACCGGGGTTTTTATAGTGGTTCAAGGAACAACGCGTTCCTCTAGTCCACTGTTCCACTAGCTTTGAGGTAAACGATTACAAAGCGTAGTCCCTAGCACTTAAGAAGTTCTCCACGCCTTCTTCAAGTCTAGTTGTCACCCGGGATGCAGTCCTGCTTCCTGATGACTGGTCCTTTCACTCAGCTTCCCGGAAGTATCACCACTTCACTACTGCAGTTACTTGGACGCCCTTCCTTGCGGAAGATGTTCTGAAAACAGAGTTTTCTCCAACTTGCTTCGTTACAAAGGATGTGTAGTTGAAGTTCTTGAAGGTTGAAGAATAGGATGAACTTTGCTGTGTGTTGGGATTGGAGGATATGGGTATTTGAATCTTCCCAACGTAAGCTTGTCTTGTTGATGTTTGTAGAGTTTGAATCTCAAGAGAGCTTTTTGAATGTTGAAGTGAGCAAAGTTATCTTCCTGTTCTTCAGCGTGTAGCTTATATACTGGGGTTGTCTGCCCGTTGGAGGAGGAGACAACTGCATTAAATGCGCGTACTGTTGACTTGACCCACTAATTTGGAAGCTTTCTATTTTTATAATATATCTTCCAGATTTCTCGGTCAATCATTTGCAATCAATCCTCAGCGTATCAGTCTCATTAAATGAGCATTGAATGCTTTCCTTGGATGAAATAACTTCTAGCCGTTAAAGGATTTCCCGGCCGTTGAGGACAGCTTCGAAATCTTCCAAGTGTAAGTCGGAGTCTGATGAGCTTCTCTGATGGCATTCTAATCTGGGGTTCTGATGAACTCAGACGAGAAACTCTGATACTTCGCTGGAGTTGATTTCTGATGAACATTTTTATTGAATTCTGATGGCTTTCTGATGTAGACTTCTGATGAGTCTCTGAAGAGCAATTCTGATGGTTCTCTGATGAGCAACTCTCATGACTTCCGAGAGCGACTCTGAAGGCAGTTCTCATATAGCAGCTCTGATCAGATCCACATAGCAACTCTGATAGTTGACTATACTAATACTTACAACTGAAAAATTCTAATACATAAAATCTAAGTAGGGGCACTCTACAATTCTTATCTAATTATCCTAGCATCATCAAAATCTAATTACATTTATTCCTTACAATTTCCCCCTTTTTGATGATGCCAAAACCCTTAAACTATTTCCAGAGAAGTGCCTTTCACCATAAAGGAAAATAAAAAAAAATCATTTAAGATCTTGGTGGGCACTTGGCATAGGAAAATAGTAAGAGTACGATACAATCAATCACGCAAATATTTAAGCAATTATAAAGCAGTAAAAGACACATAAATTGATATTGCCATGCAAATTAGAGGCAAGCTGGTTATTTCATATAGTTGAAAGAAGGTATTTAGAGCAACAAGAGGATAGAGTTTAGAAATCTTCCTCTTCTAATCTTCTTTCAGCTTCTTCACATTTCTTTAGCTCTGCATTTACCTTGGCTCTGATAGAGGCCAGATTTCTTGGAGTCTGACACTCATGCCATTGAGGTTCGAGTTTGCAGTCCAGGTAGTTTCTGATGGCCTCTGTGATGTCATTGCCAGGGATCACTTTCATTCGCCACCAATCTTCTGCTTCTTGCATTGAGCCACCATGATTTATGATAATCAGCCCATCTTTATCCAAAATAAGATTCTCCTGTTGTAGAGGAGTCATATGCTTCTTCATTTCTTGGAACTGGGCGGCATCAGGCTTGGCTAGATCACTGTTGAGCCATTGGGCCAGAGTGAAGGTGGAGGCAGTTTTCTTTCCCTTCTTGGATCGAGGAGGAAGGGGTCTCTGGATGCCTGCAGCTAGCCTTTTCTGCCTTGCTCTTTCAAAGTATATTGTCGGGTCAACAGCAGGAGTGACTGTCAGAGCTCTGGAGCTTGAACCTTCTGCATCTCTGGTATCTTCCCCCTTTTGGCATCAGCAAGATCACCAAGCAGGAGTGCAATCTTTGAGAATTCGGTGGCCTGATTCTCCTTTATGACTTCAAGGGCACCTGGCAGAGTCTGGGTTACAGAGGCCAGCCCTTCAATGATTTACTTCTGTTTATCTACAGCAGATTGGATATCCTTGGTAGTAGCTTCAAGGAGAGTCAGCTTGTGATCTCTTTCCTTTCCACTGTTTATCAGCTTGATGTCAAATTCCTTCAAGGTTTTGCAGATGTCCTCTACATCTGTTAGGTGCTCAGCATGCTTATCAGAGGACCATTGAAGATCATCCACAGCATCAGACAACTCCTGAATGGCCTTGTCTTGAGCAGTAAGGGTCAGAGATTGTGAGAAGAGGACCGTATGGATGCTGGCCACCTCTGAGGCTATGTTATCTACCTTCTCATTGGATGTTTTGATGTAGCTCAGGAAGGTAGTTGTCAGTGTAGATAGGGTAGTGGAAATCTTGGTAAGTTCAGACTCAATGTTGTACTGAACCAAATCCAGATGAGCATCATGCTTCTGATTCAATACAAGCATCTTGTTGAGTCCAGCAATCATCTGATCTCCAAATTCCTCAGCTGATTCCACAAACTCTTGGAAGGGGATGAGGACTTCTTTTGGAGTCTCAGGCAGAGGTAAGTCACCTCTCTGAGGCTGAGGTTGAGCAGGGGATGGAGGGGGAGTAGGAGTCTTCCTCTTGTTTGATTGGAGGTCCCCAGCCAGTGAAGATGTAAGAAATCCATCATTATCCTCTGTTGAGGAGAGAATCCTCACTACTGGTGCTCTCTTTTGAGTGGATGCTGCAGAGTGTTGTGGAGAGAGAGGTTTGGAGGATTTCTGATGAGGAGTAGGTGAAGCAGATTTGGATCTCTGATGGGGGTGAGCTCTGATGAGGTGAAGCTTGCAGAGCGGGGGTCTTCTGATGTTGGGGTGAAGGAGGAGGTGATGGTGAGCGGCTTCTGATGGGGGTTAACTGGTGACAGGGTGATGGTTGTTTAGGTGAGGGTGGTTTTGGTGAAGGAGTTTTCTTGGGTGAGGGAATCGGTGAATTTGGAAGAGGTTGAGGGGATGGAGGTGGAGTTGTGGTTGATGTGGTTGGTTTGGGTGAAGTGGATTTGGGAGGTGATGGAAGATGAACAGGAGAATTAGGAATTACCTCAATTTCCTGTTGCTGAGATTTCCTCCAATCAGTGATCAGATTTGCAAAGATCAGCTCTGCATCAGAAGGTCCTCCAGCTTGCTGTTGAGGTTCAAGGGAATCCTTCATTGTCTTCTCTGTCAGCCATGCTTCAAATAGTGGGACCTCTTGCTCAGTGAGAGGGGAGACATCTGTTGCAGCATGCTCTACTGCAGTTGAGGCTGTCAGACGACCCTTGCCTTTGAAGTTCCTCTTCTTCTCAGCTAAAACAGACTCCAGAAATGGAATATCAGTGCACTTGGACACATCATTAGTTCCAGTCCAGTTGAACACTTCCTTTTCTTCAGCAGAATAGAATCCAAAGTGCTGCAAGATGTTAGAGAGTGGTCCCAATCTCCATTTCCTCCACTCTAGCACTCTGGCAAATTGCTTGTTCAAAGCTGTGAGGATGTCTTCCTGAATCTCATCATCCACAGGGGTTTGATGTACTTGAGAGGAAGGGATTGCCAGGACTGCCTCTTGATCAGCAGGCAGGGGGGCAAGTTCAGGTTCCCCCTGAGTATCAACCACCTCAGGTGCTGGTTCCACTTGAGCATTAGCCAACTCTGATGCTGGTTCCCCCTGAGGTTCTGATTCCTTGGGAGGGGAGTTGGTCTTCTTCTTCTTCTGCACCCTGATAGGAGAAGTAGAAGCATCAGAATCACTCTGAATGATTGCTTTCCTTCTCTTCTTCTGTTTAAGTTTCTTGATGGGGGCCACATCTGATGCACCAGCTTCTGATGCATCCTCCTCTGATGCAACCTTCTCAGTGGTTGCCTCTTGCTTCGTCTGAGATTTCTTCTTGGGCTTAGTAGGAGCAGGTTTTGACTTAGCAACCACCTTCTCCCTGTTCTGCTCAAGTCTTTCTTCCCTCTTCAACTCAGCAGCAATGGCCACATGAACCTTGGGAGATGCAGTAAGAAATATAGTTTTGGAATGGTCAACAGTAGAGGGGTTTCTGAGCTCCACTTGAGACTTGGAAATGACCTTTGAGAGGAGAAGGCCATGACCCATCTTTGTTGTGAACAAGCCGGTTTTCTTGTCCTTCTTCTCTACTGACTCAGTGAGGGATTTATAAAGTACCTTCCCCCAGTTGATGTTCATTCCATGATGAACTGCATACAGAGCCTTTGCATTGGTGTTGTTCATTTGATCAGTTGAGCTTGTTTTGCACCACAGACACCGATGCATGATGCTCATTAGTTTTTCATAGTCCCTTTTGAGCAGGTTCTTCTTCATGTAGAGCTTATCTACTCCGGTAGCATCTGGCTGGCAGTAGGTGTCCACAAATGTCTCTACAGAGACTTCAACTGACTCCAGATCGATGAGAGTGGGAGTATCTTCATCTTGTGAGTCGAGTTCGATGTTGAAGAACTCGTTGAGGGCATCAACATCGATTTTCAGGCTTTTCCCTTGCACATGAGAATGAATGGCGTCGTCGGTGATGTGGGCGTTGAGGTAGAATTCAGCCACATCAAGGATACTGAACTGCTCATAAGGATGAGCCACAATCTTCGTTAGCTGGGAATCATTCATTCCTGCAATGACCGCCTTCATTGTTTTCTGGTTTTCAGCCAGCAATGGTAGTGAGGACATGTCAACCTTCATCCCAGTGGCAATGTTAGCCACAAGCGCCTTGGCTTCAGCTTCTGAAAGATCGGTGTTGTTGATGAACTTCATTTTTGAGTGTAGAAGAGATTTGAGAAAATCTGAAGGTATGAACTTTTAGAGAGATGAAGCTTGAAGATGAAGAGTAAAAATTGCAGTAGCGTTATAGGTTTTCAGAATGGGTATATATGAATTTGGGTTAGTGGACGTTTGGTATAGTTTGGGGTTTCGAGGTCGCATTTAATGGATTGTGTGCGGATAGCCGTTTCCGATTATGGAAATAACTACCGGGGGTAGAAAAGTAACTTCCGAAACATAGAGTGTACTCGTCCAAATTTTAGAAAATTTTCTAAGTCCACAGCCACTCTGATGAAAAGACGTTCCAGGTATCAGAGAAAGGGTATTCTGATACAGGGTCCTCTGATGGGTAAGAGTTCTGGTATCAGAGGTGAGGTGTACTGATGAATCCACATCTGATGCTTCTGCAACTCTGATTCAAGCATCTCTGGGAAGATCATCCATCATTCCCAGTTCTTCTCTCAACTTGTTAAACCTCGCCTCAGAGAGAGGTTTGGTTAGGATATCTGCAAGCTGATCTTCAGTTGGAACATGCTCAATTGAGATGTGCTTCTTCTCCACATGATCTCTGATGAAGTGATGTCTGATCTCAATGTGCTTTGTTCTTGAATGCAGCACAGGATTCTGAGTGATGGCAATGGCACTGGTGTTGTCACACAACAGCTTGATGTCCTTTGCTTGCACTCCATAATCCTTGAGTTGTTGCTTCATCCAAAGTAATTGAGCACAGCAGCTTCCAGCAGCAATGTATTCAGCCTCAGCAGTGCTTGTTGAGATTGAATTCTGCTTCTTGCTAAACCAGGAGACAAGTCTCCCACCTAGCAACTGGCAGTGACCAGAGGTGCTCTTTCTGTCTAATCTGCAACCTGCAAAATCTGAGTCAGAGTAACCAATTAGTTCAAAGTTACCTCCCTTGGGATACCATAATCCTGCATTTGGATTTCCTTTGATATATCTGATGATCTTCTTAGCAGCAACTAAATGGCTCTCCTTGGGCTTTGATTGGTATCTGGCGCAGATTCCCACAGCAAAAGCTATGTCTGGCCTGCTTGCAGTCAGATAGAGGAGAGATCCAATGATTCCTCTATATGTTGTAGCATCAACATCCTTTCCTTCATCATCTGGTCCAATTCCTTGAGATGCATTCATAGGAATTTTGACTGATGATTTCCCATCTATTCCAAACTTCTTGATTAAATCTCTGGTGTACTTCCCTTGATTGATAAAGATTCCTTCAGGAACTTGTTTGACTTGTAAACCAAGAAAGTAACTTAGTTCTCCCATCATGCTCATTTCAAACTTGCTCTACATGACTTGAGAAAACTTCTTGCATAATTCTGGATTAGTGCTTCCAAATATAATATCATCAACATAGATTTGCACTAACAGAATATGATTAGCAACAGAAATTTGAAATAGAGTCTTGTCAACCTTTCCTTTAATAAACCCATGGTTCACTAAGAATAGGGACAATGTGTCATACCAAGCTCTGGGAGCTTGCTTAAGACCATAAAGGGCCTTTCTAAGCTTGTAGACACAAGAGGATTGAGTTGGATTGACAAAACCTGGAGGTTGTTCAACATATACTTCCTCTTCGAGTTCTCCATTCAGGAATGCACTCTTGACATCCATCTGGTAGACTTTGATGTTGTTGTATGCAGCATAGGCTAGAAATATCCTGATTGCTTCCAGTCTTGCAACAGGTGCAAATGTCTCATCAAAATCTATGCCTTCTTCTTGGCAGTATCCCTTTGCTACAAGCCTTGCTTTATTCCTTACAATGTTGCCTTCTTCATCTGCTTTGTTCTTGAATACCCATTTGGTTCCAATGACATTTTGATGCTTTGGTCTAGGAACAAGTTCCCATACTTGATTCCTTTCAAACTGTGTGAGCTCTTCTTGCATTGCATTGATCCAATCTGAATCTTCTAGAGCTTCATCTACATTCATTGGCTCCATTTGAGAAATGCAGCAGGTGAACATGGCTTCTCTTCTGGATGCAGATCTGGTCCTTACTCCACTAGTAACTTGACCAATCACTTGATTAGGAGGATGATCTCTTAACCAAGTTAGATCAGGTTCTGATAGTTGCTGTCTAGGCAACTCTGATTGATCATCTTCTGAATCTTCATCTTCATCTTTGTGTTTCAGAATTGGACTAGCAGGAGGAGTTGAGAATACATGATTGATAGTGACCTCTTCTGATGGTTCTGAGCTCTTGTCTTCAAAATTGATCTTCTGAAGGGTTTCTGATATTTCTTCAGCAGAGGTGCTATCATCAAACTTCACATGAATGGATTCTTCAACTTGTAGAGTCCTTCTGTTGAGTACTCTATAGGCTTTACTTGAGCTTGAGTAGCCTAAGAATACACCTTCATCAGCTTTTTCTTGAAATACTTTCAGATTCTCCTTTCCATTGTTTAGAATGTAGCACTTGCATCCAAACATATGGAAGTAGCTGATGTTTGGCTTTCTCCCTTTCCATAGTTCATAGGGTGTCTTTTGATGATTCTTGTGAATCATGCTTCTATTTTGAATGTAGCATGCTGTGTTGATTGCTTCAGCCCAGTATCTGATGGGCAATCCTGATTCTGCAATCATAGTTCTTGCAGCTTCCTTCAGTGTTCTGTTCCTTCTTTCTGCAACACCATTTTGTTGGGGTGTTCTGGCAGCAGAAAGTTGGTGAAACGTGCCATTCTGATCACAGAAGTCTTTGATCACTTTGTTGACAAATTCAGTTCCTCTGTCAGATCTGATTGTTCTGACCTTCATGTTCTTCTCAGGCTGAAGTTGCTTTAACAGAGATGGCAACTTCTGAAGAGTTTCATTTTTCTTGGTCAGAAACACTGTCCAAGTATATCTTGAATAATCATCAACCATAACAAGAGTATATCTTTTTCCACCAACACTGGGAGTTTCAACTGGTCCAAATAAATCCATGTGGATCAGATTTAGAGGACAAGTAGAAAGATCTCCAGCTATGGGTTTGAATGAAGTTTTCACTTGTTTGCCCTTCTGACAAGCACTGCAGAGGGTCTCCTTTTTGTAGACAATGTTAGGCAGACCATCTACAATGTTTTCTCTTGCCAGTTTGTTGATGGTTTTGAAATTCAGGTGGCTAAGCTTCTTGTGCCAGTCCCAGCTTAGCTTTGAATTGTCTTTAGCTATCAAGCAGGTTCCATCTTTTGCTGTTTGCCAGTCAACAACATAGATGTTCTTTCTTCTCTTGGCTGTAAGAACCACTTCCTTGGTTGTCTCATGCTTTACATAGCATAGGGTCTTGGTGAATTCAACTGTGTAGCCTCTGTCACAGAATTGGCTAGCACTCAACAGATTGAACTTCAGACCTTTGACATATGAGACATCATCAATGCTTATCTGGTTCTTGATCAGCTTCCCTCTTCCCTTTGTTTGACCATCCTTGTCATTTCCTCCAAAAGTGACTCGGGGTCCATTGAATTTCTGGAACTCTGATAGGCAACTCTTGTCACCTGTCATGTGTCTGGAGCATCCACTATCAATAAACCATTCTTGCTCTGAGATAGCTCCAGCACACAGTTCCTGCAAAATTAAAAGGAAGATTTAGGTACCCAAGCAATGTTGGGTCCTGGGGGGTAATGCAGTCTTGGTAGTTGGTACCATTTTGGTCTCATCAACTGAAACCTTGGTGGATGGTACCCATTGTCCACCTGGTAGTCGTAGTAAACAGATGTATGATTCACTTTGGGCAGATGCTTGTGAGGATCATGCTTCCTGTTTGCATACTTTTGCATAGCCTTCTTTGTTGGAAAGAAGTCCCATATACTATCAAGATCAGAGGAGTGCTTAACTTTAGGTTTCTGAGGTTGACCAGACAACCTCTTTTGTCTATAGTTAATTTTCTCTTGATATTTGCCTCTCTGATAGTGATCTCTGATACGGTTATCATGAGGATGTCTGATGGATTTTGGCCTTGGAATTTTATTGTTCTGAAAACTTTTATTGTGGTTAGTTTTTCTGCCAGATTCATTAGTTTTTAAAATTTGTTTTGGTTTGGCCTTTAGTTTTTGGTTCTCTGGTGGGACTTTCTCATGAACAACCTTAGTACCAGAGGTACTAGCATGGCAGATGGGGCTACAAGTCTGTGAAACTATGACCTTTTTGGCTTTAGCAACTTGGGTGCTAGGCCTTACAGAAGGTTCATCAGACTTGGGTTCAACATATCCAAGACTAGAGGTGAGATTATGAGTATCATCAATGCTCCTTATTGAAGATTGCATCTTCAAAAGACTATCATATCTGATTTCAAGACTCTCAATTTCTCTTATTCTTTTTAGAAGAGACTCATTTTCAACTTCCAGTTTGTCTCTTTCCTTAATTAAGAGATTAAGTTTGCACTCAGTCTCTTTTCTTAAGTCAGAGATTTCTAACTTTAGTTTACTGTTCTCCTCTTTAATCAAAGAATAAGTGTCTTGGATAGTTTTAAATTCTTCCCAAAATGATGACATTGGATCATCATTTAAGGCTGTGCCTACCGAAGAAGAAATAGAGTCAGCAGTCGAATATACCTCATCATCAGATTGAGCCATGAGGCAGAGATCTTCGGTCTCTGTATCTAAGCAGCAAAAAGCTTCATCAGAGTCAGAGTCTGAGCTGGACTCTGATTCAGAGAGTGGATCTCTCTCAGCTTGCTCTGAGACGAATGCCCTTCGTCTTCTGTGTTGATCTTCAGGTTTCTTTTCTTCTTCATGTCCTTGCTTTTTGGACACTCTAGGGAAGGGGCAGTTAGCCTTGAAGTGACCAGGCTGTCTGCAGTTGTAGCAGAGGTACTCTCCATTGCTTTCAGAAGATTTGGTCTTCTGATGAGGTCTTCTGATGGAAGATGGACTCCTTCCATCTTTCTTCATAAATTTTCTGAACTTCCTGGCAAAAGCAGCCATATACTCGTCAGATAAGAGAGTAGAAGGGTCAAAGTTGCTTACCTTAGAAG